CACACACACACACACACACACACACACACACACACATGTACCAACGCATACACACACGAGCTGTCACAATCACCCAGAAAATCACGCCGCGCGCTCCTTCTGTTTATCTGCTGTGTCTGTGGACACCGCTAACAGATAGGCCTAAATTCATGCGCGCGTATACACACACACACACACACACACACACACACATGCGTGCGTGCAAACCCAGAGACACACGCAGCCTGAGAGGTTGGTAAATTCCTCCACTTATTTGACATGTCTGGTGTCACTCCCACTTTTTTTTTCTGCCACACTTTTTCCACGTGAGGGTTAAATAAGGTTTGCTGCCAGGTCTGACCTGAAGCAGTGTGTGTGTGTGCATGTCTTGCTGTGTTTGTTTAGACATTTTATTCTATTTTTTTTTTTTTGGGAGACATTAACTTTAAAAGGACGTTTACTCTTGTGAGGACATTTTGCCTGGTCCACACGAGGGAAAAACCCACATTTGTGTCTCAGGGGTTAGGTTTAGCTTCGATGATTAGAAATTAATGGAAGTCAATGCAAGTCCTCACAAAGATAGTAAAACGTGTTTTTTTAGAACATTTTAAGGCCTATTTTTCTAAAAATAAAAATTTGAAATAGCATGCTGCTCCTTAGGGCCACATGAGCTCAAATACTGTTTATGGTTTGGGTTTAGAGGCGATAGAAATGAACTAAAAATGAATAGAAGTCCTTCTGAAGATATAAAGACATGCACGATATGTGTGTGTGTGTGTCTGTGTGTGGAGGGTTAGTTGCTCATTAATTTCCACGCGACCTTGAACCCTTCTCTCGGGGCCAGTGGACTGAGCAGACTATTGACAGAGCTGAAGATAAAAAGAAACATTTTCTCTGCGTCGCACACACGCACACAGTGACCAAGACCTTTCTGCTGCTCTCAGCAGTATCATTTCAGTACAAAATCGGTTATTTCAGGATCTGTGTACTTTTTTTTTGTGTCAAATCATCAAGTTAAAAACAGAACCAAACACRAGGCTATAATCTATTGGGGTTCGTATCTAAAAAGTGACTTTTTTCTCCACATAATTGCAGATCTGTGCACTGATCATAAAATATTGTGATTAACTGTGCTCAGTTTTGATGTTTGCATTTTATTCTTAATCCAGTATTTCCAACTAAGAAAAAAATCCTATAATAGCCCTTTTTGTGCAGATGGGTTTGACATTTGCACATTACTCCCTCCATGCTGAGCTGATTTCTTATCTGCAATATGTTGTAACTTAAAACGTGGGGTTACACAGTCTGTGATGACTGTGAATATTAGGCAATGTGGCAAAAAGACAAAAAAAAAAGGAAGGAAAAAGGCAAGTGAAAACTGTGTAAACAAAGTAAAAATCTGTTTAATTCAATAAAATATCAAGTACAATTAAAGCATTTCACCTTTTAATATTAAATAATTAGACTTATTTCATTCATTGCCAATACTATTACAAAGAGTTGCATCATTTCACTGCAGCACAACTCTTCCTCCTGACAGCCATTGCTGCAGATACAGTGTACACAAAATGTAGAAATTCACTTGGATGTATGTAGAAACCTGCACAGAAATACATACACCAAACATATCACACCTGGGAATAAAGCTTTAAAGAGGGGACATGTGTGTGGAGGAAGAAGAAGAAGAAGAAGAAGAGGGGTGGGAAGGTTGCGCAATCCACGCGCACCTTTTTTTGCTCAGTCTCATTCAAAGTGTCCTTGTAAACTGGTGGTCGCAGTACCGGGGTGGGTTCTGCCCTGAATAAAAAAGTCCAACAATCAGGGCGAGCAGGAGACTAACACTGTCCGGTGGCAGAGAGCAGGTTGCGCAGGGTGGCCAGCTCTCTGGACAGCTGCTCCACGCGCTTCTGTAAACGGTCGTTCTCCGCAGCCAGCTCCAGCACTTTGTGCTGCGTCTCCAAGTTGCGCATTTTGGCTTTGTCCCTGCTCTTCCTCACGGCCAGGTTGTTCCTCTCCCTCCTCAGCCGGTACTCCTCACTGTCCTTGTCCAGGCGCTTCTTCGCCTTGCCGCCGGACGATTTGCCGCCGTGAGACGGCGACCTGCCCTTACCTGACGGAGCAGGTGTGCCGGGCGGGCTGGAGCAGGTCGAGGACGCCGTGGAGATGTTGCCCAGGCTCCCGCTCGTGGACTGGTAATGCAGGTACCTCATGTCGTAGCCAGAAGAGCCGTTCTCCATTTTCGCGTCCTCCTGGCTGTCGTCTCGCTCCGCGGCGGCGGCGGCGGACCTGTAGCGGTGCGCCACGAGCTCGGGGCTGAGCACGCTGTCCACCCGGGTCTCCTGCAGCTCGGAGTAACCCAGCGCGTACGGCTGGGCTTCCCGGGGCTCCCTCGGGTGGTCGCACTGAGCCGCCTCCAGCTCGTTGAGCAGCGAGTAGTTCTTGTAGTTCTGGAAAGCCGCGGCTCGTTTGATCTTGTTCTCCCCGAGGAAGTCAGAGAAGACGTCCCCCTGCTGCTGCTGCTGCGGGGGGCAGTGCAGGGCGGAGGGGTCCAGGTACACGCTGAAGTCTATGGCTCTCTCCCGCTCCTCCAGGCCCAGCTCCGTCATCGAGTCGCCCAGCCTCCAGTACGAGGGACCCAGAAAGCCGTCTCTGCCGTGGATAGCGAAGCTGCCCTCCTCGTACAAGCCGGCCACTTCCATGGATCTCAGCACCCGCCGGATGGGAGGAGCGCGTGGGGGCCGAGGTGAGACGCCCTGGTTCCGGCTGCCCCCTCACTTCACTGAAACGCGTCGGTGTGGAGCTGTCAAACCTCCTCGGTCATCGCCTGTGGGGACGCGCAGTTCGCGGGGGGCTCGTGGATCGTGAGGAATTGACAGATCTTCCTGTCTCGGGGGGTTTTATTTAGGCTGGAGAGGGTGGGGCGGGGCTTCACCCGGGCAGGTGTGTCACTGTCAGCGCGCAGCCAACAGGACCGACCTCAAGCCGCTTTTTCAGGTTATTTCCCCGCATTCATATTTTAAAGTTTGAACACAACAAACACACTTTTAAAAACATTTTTAAGGTGTGCGTCAGACGAATTTGCAGCAGGATGAACAACAGCTTTTATTGTTTGTTTTTGAACAGAACAACCATCAATTAGAACAATGTGTCAAAGTCAAGTCAGCTGAGAAGGAAAAGGTTTACATTTGTTCAAACCACAATCTCACCAGATATAAAAGAGTCAGTGTTAAACATGACTCCAAAATATAGCTCCATCTCTGAAAAAAATGTTCACATAGCTATTTTTTGTGATGTCATAAGTGGGTTAGCTGTGGGTTGACACCAAATATAAATGAGTTTTAGTGCATCAAATTATTAACTTCTGAGAGTTTCAATGAACTCTGTGCAGTGGTTGAATTAACGAGATATTTCGCCAACAGATAGACAGTTTTAACTCCAACAGTTAAAGCCAACTTAAAAAGGTGTATAAGCTACATACACTGTAAAAAAAATGAAATGTTGGATTTACTTAACCATGTTATGCTACCTGGTTCCACTTAACTGAGTTGAGTAAATTCAAAGCAATACCAGTTTTTTAGCCAAAGAACATGAGTATGTTGCTTTGAATTTACTCAACTCAGTTAAGTGGAACCAGGTCACATAACATGGTTAAGTAAATCCAACATCCATCCATCCATCCATTTTCTTCCGCCTATCCGGGGTCGGGTCGCGGGGGGCAGCAGCTTCAGAAGGGAGGCCCAGACCTCCCTCTCCCCAGCCACTTCTTCCAGCTCCTCCGGGGGAACTCCAAGGCGTTCCCAGGCCAGCCGAGAGACATAGTCCCTCCAGCATGTCCTGGGTCTTCCTCGGGGCCTCCTCCCGGTGGGACGTGCCCGGAACACCTCACCAGGGAGGCGTCCAGGAGGCATCCTTACCAGATGCCCGAGCCACCTCAACTGGCTCCTCTCGATGTGGAGGAGCAGCGACTCTACTCTGAGTCCCTCCCCGATGACCGAGCTTCTCACCCTATCTCTAAGGGGGAGTCCAGCCACCCTGCGGAGGAAACCCATTTCGGCCGCTTGTATCCGGGACCTCGTTCTTTCGGTCATGACCCAAAGCTCGTGACCATAGATGAGGGTAGGAACGTAGATCGACCGGTAAATCGAGAGCTTCGCTTTCTGACTCAGCTCTCTCTTCACCACGACGGACCGGTACAGCGCCCGCTTTACAGCAGACGCTGCGCCAATCCGCCGCTCCGTTCTTCCCCCATTCGTGAACAAGATCCCCAGATACTTAAACTCCTCCACTTGAGACAGGGCGACCCCCCTGACCCGGAGAAGGCACTCTGCCCTAAATCCAACATTTCATTTTTAAAGTGTATATGTCATTTAATGTGTTGCACTTGGAGTGTGTATTAGACTGGCAAACACACCCAATTGCTGACATTTAGGCAGTTTTGTGTTGGCTAAGGTTGGCTGTGTCCATCGTCCTTCATAAGGTTAATAAGATATTTTGCTAACAGACAGACACAGTTCAAACTCTAACCCTCTTGTCAGAAAAAGAAACAAACAGATCAGTCTGTGATGGACATGACCCTCACCAAACTTTACTTCAGTGTCTGTAAAACTAAGTTTGATTAGATATGATGACCGTAAGTCCATAAGACCATAATAAGACGTGGATGAACAACCAACCACTACGTTTTGAAAGTTTTCAGCAGTTCATGAGTCTACAGATAAACCAACACTCAGCCGCAGACATGATCAAAAACATTATTGCCTTTTCACATTTGGGTGCTAAAAAAAAGTAAGAAAAAAAAGGTAAATTAACCCCTCACTTAGGACTTTGTGAAACTAAAATTGCATTTCCCAGACTCCTCAGACATATAAACAATTGTGACAATGAGATGTTTATCCCATTGTTTTGATCTTGACACGTCAGACTAATAACCATGACAGATGCTGATGTAAAGCAGCTCCATCTAGAGTTTGCTTTGAACCGGTTTGAACAGAACCTGCACGGACCTCCTCAAGATGATACATCTCCAATCCTGTATAAAGGTCAGAGTGGGCGTTATGAGAAACTCTGCGTTTTATCAAAAACACTTCATGGTGCCAGCAAACACATCCTGGATTGTTCAGTCGGTCATGAAGAATCCGCTGCAGCGTCATGAGTTCACCTGTTTGTCTAAAATCAGCTTGTTRTGACAGAGCTGTAACGATTTGGGCCAAGTTAGAAAACTATTTTCAATAATCTTATGCAATATTGTGAAATTCCACAAGTGTGTGAGTTAATGACTCTCAGCTACTACCACATCAAATCTTTCTTTTATATATGAGAAGCAACTGTATTACAGTCATTTTTGTGTTGGCTATTGTCATTTATCTTGAAATAGTTTGGCTCTAAAAGTTAATCAGTTGTAGAAACACATCCAATAATTATTTTCTGTAAACTTCATTAAAATCTGTCCAGTAGTTCATGAGATATTTTGCTAACAGACAGACAAAGTTGACTTCAAATAGTTAATGCAAAAGTGTAAACAAACCCCCGGTCCAATCTGTTTGCACTCAGGAAGTGTGTTGGAGATTCGTCTCAGCGACGGCCACGCCAAGTTTGAGCTCAATGTCTGCAGAATTAACAGACTCGTGTCCATTTCAGTGTTTTTAAGCTCAGCTGGCTGTGGCAGCCATCTTGAGTCAGGTTGGCTACAAATGTTTATTAGCTGTACATATGCATCTAAAAATTACTTTCCTGAAATTTCATTAAGATTTGTCCAGTGGTTGATAAGATATTTTGCTAACAGACACACACAC